CCTGGACCTGGCTCCTTGTGTGGCTCTCCTTCTTTTCCCTCTCCCCAGCGTGACCAGTCCCACTGCCTTTCTTCTTCCAGGCCTCTCTTTCCTCCCTAGGAGCATAGATGCTTCTCTGGTCCCAGCTGAAACAACAAAAGTCACCTGAGCCTCTGCCTTTTCCAAAATTCCTGAGAGGCTGCCAGCGATGAGTCAGTGCATTGGCAGCCCTGCTTACCAAGGACCAGCCTGAGCCTGAGCAGAGGCTTTATGTGGGTCTGTGGTGAGGCGGGAGGCAGAGATGATCAGAAGCCCTGGGGAGCTCTCTTCCCTACAAGTGCTGAGGCTCCAGAAGCCCAGCCCCATGGGGCCAGTGATTCTGAGCACATGGTACAGTGGGACTGGTTGGGAGACAGTCAGATAATGTGCCCTGGGCTCCTGCTTAGCACCAGGCATGGCCCTGCCCTCTGGGAGCTCAGTAGAGTGGGGCTCCGAAGGATTTAATTCTATTTTTCCTTTTTCCACTGAGGATGTGAGGCTAAGCTGGTACTCAGAGCAGATGTAATGACTCTCGTCTCATTTTCATGTGGGTTGCTTGCTTCCAGCCCCCTCCATGTGTGGTTCATAAGAAGATTCTGAGAATCTGTCGCCAGCTCCCACTGGCTATGTGATTTGGTTTCTGTTTACAACTGTGATTCTACGTTGCTTCCTCCTCCCTCCCACACTCCCTCTCGCCCTTCTTTCCCAACCCTCTGTGGTTCTGTGCATGGAGGTGCTCCTCTCCATTGTGAGCATGGCTTGTAGTCTTAAGTGGCATTGCTCCTTACTTTGTGTTTGGAGATAAAGGGGAACAATTCCAGCATGGGCTGTATCTTCCGTGTTGGCTCATTAGTCCTGGAATTCCTTACCAGTCTTCTCATTGCCCGTTTAACAATGAGAACACATATCAAAGGCTTCTGGCCTGGACCCATCCCTAACCAGCTCATGATCATGGGCCTCATCTTCAGGTCTGCATTGTGTAGGAGTTAGAGGAAGGAATGGGAATGATGGGGAGGACAGAATGAGAGCAGCAGGATGCCAGGGAGCAGCGACACCCACACTGTTCTAGCAAGGTCTGGATTTCATCCTTAATGAGAAGACACCCTCCACCACCTCACACGTGCAGGAGCAACAGGCAGCCTGATGCCATGGAGAGAGTGGAGAATTCCAAGTCAGACATAATGGGGTTCCAGTTCCAGCTTTGTGTCTGTCTGGCTGTGTGGCCATGAGCGAGCTTTAACCCCCTGGGCTTCAGTTTCCTCATTAGTGATGTAGGACAGCTGTGTCTGTCCCCCAGTGAGGGGGGAGCATTTCCAGGCACTTGTAAGATAGTGAGGATGAAAAGCACTTTCAACCTAAAGTTCTGTGTACATGCAAAATGTTATTTGGTACAGTTTGGGTCCCCTGGAAGCAGATTCTGAGATATACTGGAGCGTTCAGGATGTTTTTAGGAAGTGCCCTTGTGGGAAGAAAGGGAAAGAGGCAGAATGGGTTGAGGGGGAAGGTGAGCTGTGATGCAGGCCCCAAAGCCTCAGCCAACTCCATGGGGAGCTTGAATTGTCCTGCACTGGGCTAAAATAGTTAAAGCCTTTATATTCTCTCATCACTGGGTGAGGCCAGCCCCTGGTATGGTGGTGAGATGGCTCTCTGAAGGCGAGATGGCTGTACCTGATGTGCTGACAGCCCTGCTATCAGCTGGGCAACACGTCTTTCCTTGAAGGAGGATCTGGATGGCGCATGTCCATGCCCACCTCTTTATGGTAGTTAATGATACTGTCACACCTAAATGTCAGGCTGAGCTGATCAAAGGCTGGTTATTACAGGGCTCCTGCCATTCCAGCACTGTTTGCCAGCTCTCCTCATGAGTTCTAGATTGACGGCTTTAGTCTCAAATTTCTGAGAAAAGAATAGGAAATCCCTCTTTTCTTTGCTCTGGGACCCAGCAAGCTATCCTACCTGGTTTTGCCTGGGAGCAAAATTGATTATAGAGGCAAAACACAAAAACCAATGAATTTAAACAAATAGATTGATTTAATTAAAAACCAGCAGCTCTGTGTGTATGCATGTGGTGTGCATATTGTGAATATATTTGAGCACGTGTAGAGGTACATTGATATGTGAGCACAGTTGACCCTTGAACAACATGGGGTTGAGCTGTATGGATCCACTTATATGCGGATTTGTACAAAAATATATTTTTAAAATTTTGGAGTTTTATAACAATTGAAAAAACTCTCAGATGAACTGTGTAGCCTAGAAATATAAAAAAAATTAAGAAGTTAGGTATGTCATGCACACATAAAATAGAGGTATAATAGTCTATGTGTTAATCCACTATTTATTAGTAAGGCTTCTGGTCAACAGTAGGCTATTAGTAGCCAAGTTTCTGGGGAGGCAAAAGTTATGCAGATTTTTGACTGTGTGGGACATTGGCACCCATAACACCCATCTTGTTCAAGGGTCAGCTATACATAAATGATGACCTGGACAAGAGAAAGGCTTCAGGGGCAGGTGTCCAGTGTAGACAAACATACATGAACCGGTGGGTGTGCTTATGAGGATGTCAGTTTGTGTGTGTAGACATCATATATCCATCAAACATTCATTAAACATCTATCATGTAGCAGACATGGTGCTGGGAGCTGGGGAGCAAGAATGGGTAAGGCATGGTTCCTGCTTCCAGAAGCTTATTATCTTCTGGGAAGGCAGACAATGCAGTATAGGCTTTTGCGGCCTTCCCTGGGCAGGAGACCCTGGAGTTGAGTCCTTAAAGGTGAGTAGGAATGACTCAGGTAAAGATGATGGTAAAGGGTGAGCAGGACTTCACACACACAAAGAAATGTGGGTAAGGAGGTCAGAGGAGTAAAATAAAGGGAAGGGCAGAGGGCAGAAGAGAGATCCCAAAGTCTTATATTTTCAGTGAAGGGGTACAAACGTTCTCATGAATAGAGGGTGGAATAGTGAGTGATACTTTAATCTCTGAGGCACATTCTGGCAGCAGTGTGGGGGCAGATGGGGGCTGGGGGCCTGCAGGGCCTGGTTGTGTTCCTGTGCCTGTGTTTAGGAGGATGTATACACACGTGGCTACCTGTGTGTCTGTGCAGCTGAAGGCTGTGGACCAGGTGTGCCGCCTGCATGGACTTGTTTTCCACTTCCACTCTCTGGCCTCGGCAGCCTGGTGGGCTCAGGGGACTGGCTGTCCTGCTGCTGATTCATGGGCAAATTTGTGCTAGGGAGCTGGTCAGGGGCCAGCAGGCAGGTGCTTCCTTAGAGCCATGGGCACACTCCCACCTGCTGGGCTAACAGTGAGGTGAGTGGGTGCAGTGAGAGAATGCATCCCTTGACCAGCACGTCTTCCTGGACCCCACAGCCCTGTCTGTGCAGTGTCCTGGCTTGTGTGGGTGAGGCTGGTCTAGCCCAGCCAATGCCTGTCCCAGGTCTATGCAACAGGGTAAGGGGAAGACAGAATGGAGACAGGCTGGCAGAGGGTGCCATGTCCCAGCTTTCTCCTTTTGAGTCTCCCCTCTCTCTGAATATGCACTCTTCTGGCACTGAAATCATATATTTTAAACTCAATTTTCTAATAGTGTGTTCTAACTGTGCTAGCTTGCCTCTTGAAAATTTAAAAAATCATCGATCACATTTCTTATACCTTGTAATGTGGATCATAAGGGAAAAAAAAAGGCAACTTGGTTTGTAATATAAGACCTGGGAATGGCATGGTGAATGGCTATAGACTGCAATTTAGAATCCGGATGCCTGGGCTTAAACCTCAACTATATGCTTAATGGCTATAAAAGATACTTACTGTTTTTCTCTCTCGGTGTCTTCATTCATAAGACAGAGATGCCAGTGTCTCATTGGTTTAAAAGTGTAGATGGCTTAGAACAGTGCCCGACAAACAATAAGCATTCAATGATTAACCTTAGCTATTATTAACTGAGTTTGAGTTCTCTTAGATCTATCCCTAACTCACTTGAAGAAAAGTGGTAACCTCTTTGAGCCTCTGGAGAAGTCATCTGCAAAATGAGAAGCTGGCCATCCTTTAACAATCAAGGGCCAACACCTGTCTCTCGCCAACTTATTCTTTCCACCTGACATGGATCTTTGGTTTTAAAAGATTGCTTGGCAAACTTCATTTGTTAAAAAATCATCAAGGTTTCTCTTGGACTTTACAAAATGCTAGGAACAGCTCACAATGATCCTTCCTGTGCACTCCTAGATCAAGTGAGTTGAATCCCTTTCCACTCCAACTTCAGACACTGGCAACTCCACAGTAAGAAGCAAGTGCCTTCAGATATTTCTGGGTCACAGAATAGATGGCCAAGTGGAACCTGAACTACAGGGTGCTTCATGTTGGCTTTGGAAGGTTCTGGGTTCCTGTTGTCAGTGTCTTTCACAGGGCCATTATGAGCAATAAACACTTCGGTCAAAGTTAGAGAAGGAATTGTCCTGACTTCCTGATAGGGACACGCCTTATATTTGGAAAACCTAAAAGCAAGTTATTATGGCTGGGGAAGGCCATTTTTATGATGATTGGTGTTTCGGTCTGATGAGTTTTACAGGTTAGTACTTTCTATAATGTTATCTTTGTAAATTTTCACCATGCTCTTTCAAGGCAGTTGTTATCCTCTCTATTGACTAGATGATAAAACTGTGGTCAGAGAAGTGATTGATTCAAATTCAACTTGCTAGTAAATTACAGCATTGTTTAGAATTTCTTAGATATATTAAAATCACATAATTCTTACCTACCTCTGAAGTAGTAATGATCTTCATTTTGTAGAAAAAGAAACTGAATTCACAGAGTTAAGAATTAGCTAAGTAGGAGTTAAATCTAAGTTTAATGTTCTTTCTTCAGCAGCTTCTGGCAACAAACCAGTTATGAGGTGACAGCCCTTCCCCACCCCTTTGGCATCCCAGTGAGGTTTGAGAATAGAAGTTAGTCCCCTATGGCTTTATCAGGTGGGATGGAAACCTACCTTGGATGTCATCATTGAACATGCAGTACTTGTTACGGTATTTGTTGAGCAGGCGGAAAGCATTGGCATTGGCAAAGTCTTCAAACTGGATGAGGCAATTTATTCCAAACCTGTGTGGAGGGAGAGGAAAGAACCCATGATTGCCTCCCTGAGGCAGATACCTGACAGATCCCAGGTTGCACTGTAGGGTAGGGAGGCACAGGCCAGGGGTTGTGAGGTGGCATGGCTCCTTCATCTGTGTTTTTGCCACTGGTTGGCTCCTGGACTCCTGGGCTTGGTGCTCTGCCTGCCCTATCATGGATGAGGATGGGGAAGGGAGAGAGTTGGTCAGCCAAGCCAACATCACCATAGCTAAGGTGTGCTGGCGGCTCCCATGGCTGCCATGGCCAGACCTGGGAGTGACAAGAGGGCTAAGGAGGGGTGTGCCCTCTCTGTAGCCTGTGGTAAGAAGAAAGCTCATTCCACACCCAAGCACATGAAGACAGCCCAGCTTCCCCACCACAAGTAGGTGGGGAGCCCCTGCAGCCTCCAAATATCTCTCTTGCTGGACCCTGAGGCCTGGAGTTCTCCTTAGAGACTCCTGTGGCAGCAGGCATTAACCTCTGGTAAGATGAAAGGATGGTTAGGAAAGGCCACTACATTAAGACACTGTTATCTACTAACATCTTGGTGAAGTTTTTCTCCAACTTGCAGGTGTAGAAGAATCAGTGATTGACCTTGTTTAAAATGCAGGTCACCAGGCCCATCTCACAGACAGTGTCACTCAGTGAGTGGAACCTGGATTTTGAACAAGCACCCCAGATGGTTCTGATTCTGATAGCCCAGAGAAGCCTGAGAAACAATGCCTTGGTGAGTGAAGACAACGGCCATTAAGATGCTTGATATGCCTTATTTAAAATCCACACTAGCATTGCCTCCTAGATTTTATGGCCTTCCCTTAAAAGTGACTGAGTTCCTTAGAGTTCTGTAACCAATTTTTCCTTTTAACATTGTCTGTAAGGAAGCTGCGAGTGAAGTTTTCTCATTTGCAACAGGCCCCCTCAGTCTGGGCTTCTGCAAACGGATTTCCCCTTTACTCCATTCTTGCTCTTTGATCTTGGTGTTTGATAGTTTTGTGTCTCTTACCGTTTCTGGAAGCAAGTGTGGTATGGATTATTAACAACTACTTAACACATAGATAAAAAATAGGTTTCATCTCATGGCTCAATTTATGACTGAGTAACAGCATCTGAAGTCATATCATTGAGGAAAAATGTCCTGATTGATCCATAAGAGGTATCAGGGCATGTAACAGGTAGAAGTGGCCTGCCTTTCCAACCTGGTGTGACCTACCGGCTTGGGACCAGCTGTGGAAAGATTTATTATCTTGTTAGAGAAGGTGGGTGGGGCACATGCTCAGTGGCTTCCTGTGCTCTCAGGGCATCTTTTCAATGAGGCTGGTGGCTATGAGCACTGAAGAGCACTGAAATGGCCCTCAAAACATTTTTTCCAGCCTGATAATTTTGCATAGCTTATGCTGTCTTGCAGAAATACCAGTGGGTGGGCAAATATTTGTTCCTGTCACGGTGCTTCCAGAACTTTAGCTAGTCAAAGCTGTTGGTGGAAGGACTGGGAGATGGATTTACTTTATAGGGGCAGAAACACAGAGGCAGTGACTTGCCACAGTCTAGTGCTTAGACTGCTGGGTGGGTGTGGGTTAGAAGGCCATAGGCTGGATCTGGCTCTCCACTTACAGTTGAGTGTCCTGTACCTGCCGCTTTATCTCTCTATTCTACCTCAGGTTCCCATCATCAAAAGGCACCATAATATCTGGCTGGCCAACATCTGTGAACTGCTGTGAGGGTTAAAAGCTGAGGGTAATGTTTCCCCCCCAGCTTTATTGAGGTATAATTGACAAATAAAAGTGGCATATATTTAAGGTATACAATGTGATGAATTGATATATGTGTACAGTGTGAAATGATTACCACAACCACACTAACTACCATATCCATCACCTCACATAGTTACTATTTTGTGTGTGTGGTAAGAAAACTCAAGATCTACTCTGTTAGCAAATTTCAAGTGTACAGTATAGTATTACTAACTAAAGTCTGAGGGTAAAGTTTAGACCGTAAAATGCCATTCTGGCCACAATTCTTATTCTGTCATAGAGCAAATGCTGATGGAGGTGGGGTCGGGGGCTCACTGTGTCTCCCCACCCACCATCCAGCCCTCTTTTCCTTGTACTATGAATAGAAATGATAAATAAAATGTCCCATGCATAAATATAATGCCATGCTTACCAAGCCAAAATTTATTGTGAATTTCAAGTATTTGGATTGGGCGGGGAGGAACGGAATGTCTTTGGTTGCTGGTGACATTTCGCTATATATAATTCCTACAAGATTCCCAGTGTTGCCCCACAACTGGCCTGGAGCTAAAATGCTGAAAAGGTCAGACAACAAAACAATGTGATGAACATTTTCTCTCTCTCTCTCTCTCTCTCTCTCTCTGTCTGTCACACACACACACACACACACACACACAGACACACACACTCTTTAAGCAACACTACCATTCATTCACTGAGGTAAAAATAAGGCAAGAATTGTAAATAAATACCTTTGTTCAGTGCATGATTATTATTTATATTTAATTCAGTTTTATATAAGAAACTCCCCTCCCTCCCATGGAGCAATTTGATGGAATATAGAATAAAACCTCATTAATTCAGGTCACTTTAATCCTAGCTTGGAATTGCATAAGAGGCCATATGAATCACTCATCCAATAATCTGGACTCATAGTTCCTAGAACTCATTGTATTTAAGGACCCCCAGAATCCCTTTTTACCTTAGGTACCCATTCCCTGGCTGCTTCCAAGACCTTGCATCACCAGGAACTACTCCTACTCTAGGATTTCACTCTGTCCCATCTCAGTCTGTGACCACAGCCTTTCTTTCTATGTCTCCTCATTTCAGCTGCACCTGCTGTTTGTCTGCACAAAGACCTCTGGGCCCTTCACCATGTTATTCCAGTCCTTCAGCCTTCTCATTATGGGTTTTCATGAAACCAGACCACTATCCAGTCTGAACCAAAGGTGGTTACTTCATGGTGCTACTGTCTTAGCACCATCCATTCAACCCATCATCCACCTATTCATCTATCATCATCCAACCATCCATCTTCCATCCTTCATCCTTCATCCATCCATCATCCATCATCCATCCATCCATCCATCCATCCATTCATCATCCCTCCATTCATGGTCCATTCATCCATCCGTCCATTCACCCATCCATAAATTCATCTACTGAAAAAACATTTATTGAGCACCTATGATGATTTAATACTATAGTTTAATGTTTTAGGAAGGGGTGGATCCATGAAGGAGTTGGTGGAAACTTAGTGTTTGGAGTTTGCCTGCCAACTTTTTTTTTTTTTTTTTTTTTTTGAGACAGAGTCTTGCTCTGTCGCCAGGCTGGAGTGCAGTGGCGCAATCTCGGCTCACTGCAACCACCGCCTCCTGGGTTCAAGCGATTCTTCCGCCTCAGCCTCCTAAGTAGCTGGGACTACAGACGCGTGCCACTACACCTGTGCCTGCCAACTTTTAAAACTAATTAAAAACCAAGTAAGCACAGAAACAAAATTTCAAAGTGGAAATTTAAATGGCTTAGTCAATAAAAAAAGTTTCTCAGTTCATCCCTGTATATCCAAATACAGGTAATGAGCTTTGGCCATAACACTAATTTAAATGTTAATTATGAATTGCCTTACATATTCATTAAAATACTAACAACAATGGTAAAAAAAAATAGCTAACTTTTATGAGTGTTTATTACCTGCTGGGCACCATACTGAGCTCTTTATGTACATTATCTTAATTAATCTTTACATGACCTTATGATGTAAGGCACTGTTTCCAGAGAAGGAATCTCAGCTACAGATAGCAATTATTTGCCCACAGGCTATTTACTCTATTGCACTTGGTAAGTAGTGGAGCTGGAATTTAAATCTCGTTCTATCTGACTCTAGAATCAGCCTTAGTTTAATTTTAATAGACATACAGATTCTTAAAAAATAAAGCTAAATAGATAATAAAGCTGGATTTCTTTCTCCATTGGGAAAGATCATAGGTGTGGTGAAGAAAACATTGACCAGGGAGACAGAAAAAACGCAGGAGTCTTGGCTGAGCCCCTCTCTCTGTCTGGGTCTCAGTTTCTGGTCTGAGAGCATTGGAGTAGCACAACCTACTTAATATTTGGGGCTAGAGTTGAATACTAGGAGCTTCACTCAGATATTTCTACAAGTCCAGAGCAGGGAGGTCAGACATTTCTCTATGAGAACAACATGTGAGAAAAATCTGGGGGGTCAGCGTCCTAGAGCCCTTTGTGCTTACACAAACCAGACCAGCTGAGTGAGCAGGGCAAGGCAGCCACCCTCCAGGTCACACTGTGGAACAGATGCAGGATTCCTCCCAACTCCTAAGAAGCCCTGCTCTCAACCCCTACACAGGGCTCTGAGCAGCTTCTTGATTCTAGTGTTGGCAGCAGCTTGTTGTCTGTCCTTCTGCCCTGCAAGCAGCTGCCCCTTAGCAGGGAGACTCCTGCTTATCTGTCCTCTTCTGCACTTTTGACCTCTTCATGCTCCAGCCCTGGCAGTGGCTGAGGAACATCTGATGCTTCTCCAGTGGAGAATTGCTGCAGTGGAGAAAGATGCACCTTCCCAAGCCATGCAGATAGCTTCCCAGACTTCCCGCCCTGGGGACTCAGCTAGAAAATGGCCTTGGAGTGGCCAGGGAAGGCTTTCCAAAGCTAGGGCTCACTTAGAGACACAAGGCTAATGAGTGGATGTTTGATTTTTTTCCCCCAGCACTCAGACAAGGGGAAGCCAGAAAACAGCGACCTGTGCCTAGGAGCCCTGGTGAGCTCTGTATGACAGTGTGATGAAACCCACGCCACGACCAACAGTGCCAGCACCTGCCACCTGGGACACATCCTCCCATGGCTAGGAGAGTCCAAGGTGGCTGTTCTGCCCTTCTCCCCAGCATGTGAACCAAATGCAGAGTGAGGAATGTTTGTGGTGCTGAACATTCCAGGGGCTGCAGACCTGGTTTCTCTTTTCCATAG